TGCCCTGCCCTGGCCCCACTCCTGCCCCTCTGCTCTGCAGGCCACCGCCCTCACCACCGGTGGGTTCTCATCTACTCCCGAGTACACACACACACACACACACACACACCCGGCAGTGTGTAAGTTTGCATTGAGACTATGGTTTCAGTCCATCTGCCTTCAGCCTCTTAGAGCATGACCTTGGGTTGGGAATGAGACGGCCTTCTCGGTCACCCTGGGTCACGGCAGAAGCAGAGATGCGAGTTTGGGCGTTAGTGAGTCTGTTGTCTGGGGAACAGGTGCCATGTCCCCATGCAGCCTGGGCGGTGGCGTGAGGACGGTTCTCACTGTGAGCCCAGGTGGCACTGTGGCTCAGGTGCCTGGCTGCGCTTATTCCCACCAGCTGTTCCTTGGGGGAAGACCTGGCGGTGTGCTTTAGAGTCCAGCACCACTCTTACCCTGACCCCGCGCCGGATTGGATTCTGCGCACACAGTCCTCCCCCTCCCCCCCAGGGTCCCAGTCCCGAGTCGATGAACGACTGGCAGGCTTTAAGGGCACAGCTTCACTGAGCAGCCCACTGGCACTCTGTGTAGTCTGGAAACCCTCAGGGGCAGTGCCTCTCTGGCTGGCATGCTTGCCAGGAATTGGGACCGACTGGGCGCAGTGGGCTTCTCAGTATGTTTAAGGCCATTAAACTCTGCCTGTCATTTCCCCTCAAAGGGATGTTTGCAGGAAGCTTGTGTAGGGAGGGGCTGGCATGCCACCCTGCATATCCACTCCTCCCTCCCTGGGGCGGTTGTCCTCCCTGCAGCCTAGGGGCTCTGAGCTGGAGCACTGTGCCCCAGGGGCTGTGGGGACCCTCCACTGGCCAGTGCCCACTCACTACTGTCCAGGTGATACTGACTCACAGCAATCCTGGATGGACGGATGGATGGAGCAAACGGTAACTCTTTATGGGAGGTGACAGCCTGGCGTTTTCCCTTGGGTAGCTGGTAGGTTTGAACTGCCCACCATGCAGTTAGCAGCCCAGAGTCCAACCCACTGTGCCACCGGGCTCCTTGCTCCATCGTACCGCAGCTACTCGCTGCCCTCCTCCCGCTACCTCCCTCCCCCCCTCCGCCCAGGGGATGTTCAAACTCAATCTGTGAACCCGTCCATCTGAGTCAGGGTCGGGGTCAAATTCTGTCTTTTTGCATACCCTACTTTTCTCCCAGGGGTTTTATAGTTTTGCGTTGCATGTTTAAGCCTCAGATCTGGTCCGAGGTACGTTTTGGAAAGTTGTAGGGAACGCCTCCCACTGCAGACCCAGTCAGTCATTGGGCCATACTGGACTGTGGCCAGCTGCCGGGCGGGCGGGCGGGCGGCACCGCCCCTGTGCGTGTCCAACTGTGGCTCTTCACAGGAGCAGGAAGCCTTGTCTTCCTCTCGCTCAGCAGCTGGTGATTAAAAAAAAAAAAAATCATTTTATTGGGGGCTGTTAACAGTTCTTATAACAATCCACACATCCATGGGGTCAAGCACATTTATACATTTGTTGCCATCATGCTTTTCAAAACACTTTCTACTTGAGCCCTTGGTATCAGCTTCTCATTTTTCCCTCCCCCATCACCCTCATGGACCCTTGATGAATTATAAATTACTATTTTCATATCTTACACCTTCTCCCTTCACCCCTGTTTCTGTTGTTTGTCATGGTGGCTGGTGGTTTTGAACTGCTGACCTTGCAGTTAACAGCCCAGCACAGAACCGCAATGCCCAAGATCAGTCCTGCAATTGTGTGGGTCTGTTTCTGGTCTGGTGACCCACTTGGTCACTGCCATGCCGTCTGGATGGCTGTAGTTCTGAGAGTCCTCAGGTCAGGTTATGTTCTCCCTGGTTCCGAGTTTGCAGTCAGTCTGTTGGTCTCCAGCAAGGCCTGGCTGGAGGTTTAATGGGCGTCTCTGTGGCAAGGCTGCCACCTGCACGTCTGTTGGTGCCGTTCTCCCAGCAGCGTGTGCCCACGTCTGCCTCTGTAGCACCTGGACCTTCTCCCGGCACCTCACGTTTCCATCTGACAGCAGTCTCTTGGCAACACAGCTCCATGCGCCCCAAGAACCCAAAACATCCTCGCTCTGGCTTTAGTGCGATGGATCCTTTCCTGAGGGGCTTGGAACAGAGCCCTCCGGATGGGTGAGGCCTCCGCCAGCCGTGGAGCCTGCTTCTCTCTCAGACGCGCACGCTCCGTGCTGCACACTGCTCGGAACGGCTTCCCGTGCGTCCCGCAGATTATTTTATCGACCGTATTTTCCTTTTCATCTAGTTCAGAATATTTTAACCTTCTCAAAAGACCCTTTGTGGACCCCTGTATTATCTATGATTTTGCTGTTTAATCTCGAAGTTTGCTAAGACTTTAAAGCTATCTTTCCGAGGGGAGAAAATGAGGAGCTGATACCAAGGGCTCAAGTAGAAAGAAAATGTTTTGAGAATGATGATGGTAACAAATGTACAAATGTGCTGCAGTACCCTCCGAGGAGGGGCCAGGGCAGAGGAGCTGCATGGCTTTCCATTTATGATGCCCTGGGAGGGC